CTCTCCCCCTCCTCCTCCTCCTCCTTCCTCTTCCTACTCTTCCTTTTCCTCTTCCTCCTTTGGTTCTTCTTTGTGCACAACTGCTTAACAAACCATGACTAACACCAACCAACAACCCACTATGCTTCTTGGGGCCCTGGGATTTATATACACACTAAAAAGTCCCCAGAATTTCAAATGTCACACAATCACAGAAACTATCTGCAGTTGGTAAAATCATGCCCCTGCCAGAGTACGAGGCAAGTCACAGTCAGCTGCTGGGGCCAGTCTACAACATCCCCATATCCCCACACCTGGGATTAAAATGGAAACACAGCCCTGTGTTTTGTAAAGAAAAAATTCTCACTACAGATGCTTTGAGCTGGGCTCTGGCTGAGTGAGGGGCTGATTGTGGCAGGAATCCCTCTGCTATGGGGGCAGTGGCAAGAAGAAGGGAGGAGGACCCCAGAGGGAGACGAGTTCTTCTCCCTTGCATCACTGTGGTAGCCATGTCTTGAGACCCAAAGTGATCCAGAGGTTTCTCTCCAGCCTGTAGGGCTGAGCTGAGTTCTCATGTTCGTTCTGAGCCCTTGCCGCGTGGCTATCCTTGAGCAGCTGGGGATGAGCCTCCCTGGCCAGGGAGACCTTAAAGGGCAGGACAGCCATAGAACCTTGTCCCCAGTGCGTAAGGCAGGCGAGAAGTGCTGCAAGAAAGTGAAGCAAGGAGTTGGAGACACCGGGCAGGAACTACAGTGTCCTGTGGGGCATCCGGTGGAGGCCTTACTGGGAGAGGGACTTCTGAGGACAGCAGTGTCTCTGTGCTCAGGCCTGGTCCTTAGAGTCAGGAGTGACACCGCACATCATGACCATGGCCTAGAAGGTGTGGGCAGGCACTAGCTGTTGTCTGACCTTGCCTTGTGGTGAGAGGTCCTGAGAGAACAGGTCCCTTTACCCTGTCACAACTGTGACAGCTGTGGGGATAAAGCAGGACCTGATGACCATCTGGTCCATGTAGGAGATTGTGACATGAGGGGCAACGTGTTGATATCTTGGACAAGTTTAAGGTGTTCGCAGCAGATCTGGAAGAATTCATCGTAGTTAAACAAAAGGGAGCAGTCTTAGTCTTCAGTTGTTGAATAGGAGGAAACCAGTTGCCCTCCTGGGAGATCTGACTGACTGAGCCGGCCACGCTCTTGCTGCGGTGTGTGTGTGTGTGTGGGGAGGTGGGGGCAGGAACTGCTCGGGACCTGGCCAGGTCTGTCCTCCAAGGGTCTCTGAGTAAAGCATCCTGTCTTTGCAGGCAGTTCCTATGGAGCTTCAGACTTCCCGGAGAGGCGCAGAAGATTGATCGCATGATGGAGGCCTTCGCATCCCGATACTGCCTGTGCAACCCTGGGGTCTTCCAGTCCACAGGTCAGCAGCCTACCACACCCAAGTGGAGATGCTCCCACCCGTCGCTCCCATCACCCCTACTGCCTCTGTAGGCAGCCATCCCTCAAAGTGGGCAGGCCGTCCTGCTAGGGAGGCAGCATGGCAGCACTTCCGGGGCCCCCTCCCCTTGTGGGACACCAGTGAGCCCCAGCCTCCCCACCCCCGTCTGTGGTGTTGCAGATACGTGCTACGTGCTCTCCTTTGCCATCATCATGCTCAACACCAGCCTACATAACCACAACGTGCGTGACAAGCCCACGGCCGAGCGCTTCATCACCATGAACCGAGGTATCAACGAGGGCGGGGACCTTCCTGAGGAGCTGCTGAGGGTGAGTCCGCAGGCGGCTTCCCTGCCATGTGTCTGTCTAATTTCATTTCTGTTGCTGTGATAAAATACCCCAGCAAATGCAGCTTTAAGGGAGGAAGGCTTTATTCAGCTTACAAAGTCTAGGTTTATGTACAGGCCGTTGTGGGGAAGTCAGGGCAGGTCCCGTATAGAGCTGGGGGTAGGGGTTATGACATATGGAGCGTGCTCACCTCCCGCTCGCTCACTCTCTCTACACTGTGGACCCAGACCTGGGCAACAGCACTGAAGCTGGCTCTGCCCTCCTCACCAGCCTGATGGAGGCAGCCCCTCACCAATACTTCTCTGTCAGCTGATTCCAGACTGTGTCATGCTGACAATGAAGATGAGCCGGCACGGTCTGTCCTTGCCGTCTCTCATGGGGTTTCCCTACTCGTGTGTATGTGGGAGGGGTGGGGGCTCAGTGTGGAATTTCTCCCTCAGCCGTTCCTCTGCTGGATTTTGACTATTAGTGCTACGGGTGTAGTGGATGTGTGTGCTGCTGTGTGTGTGGTAGGGGCATGTGGAGGTCAGAGAGCCACACTGTGCGAGCTGTGCAGATGGAACTCGGGCTGCCAGGCTGTGTGCCCAGTGCCTGTACCTGCTGAGCCTGTGCCAACCGCCATGTGTTTTGTTGTTGTTATTGTTTTTGGAGATGGGGTCTCTCATAGGCCGGTAAGTCCCAAGAATTCTCCTGTGTCTGCCTCGGAAATGATAGGCACAGACAGATACTACTCAACCTAGGTTCTTATGTACATAGGCACTGGTGATCGAGAACAAGGGCCTCTTGCTTGCCAGCAAGCATTTCAGCAACCAAGCCTTCCCCCGGCCTCTCATGTTATTTTTAGTTTTCAAATACCCTCAGTCCAATGAACATCAGTAATGCTGGTTTATTGATTTCAAAGGTGTCTTCCAAGTCTCTCCTCAGACTGCATGGTGATTCTGTGCAGGAGGGAGAAAGGATGGTTGCTTCTCATACTGTCCTGACTGGCTGTTCCCCTCCCTTACAGAACTTGTATGAAAGTATCAAGAATGAGCCGTTTAAGATCCCAGAGGACGATGGCAATGATCTGACGCACACCTTCTTCAATCCAGACCGAGAAGGCTGGCTGCTGAAGCTGGGTGAGCCTGGTGGGGGGCCTGCACTGTACCCCTGCCCACAGCAGCAGCTCCTTGTCCTGCTCCTTTGGAGCCACAGCCCCCAGCTACAAGGCAGAAAGATTAGAAAGAAAAGTACAGTCAACCAGAGCCCACTCTGGGCAGCCACACCCCCAGCACTGGTGGCTCTGTCCCTGAGCTGTGGCCTTCCAGAGCCGGTCACGCTTGCAGCGATGACTGCACGGCCCGTCCCAGAGACCTGCCGAGTTAGTGTCCACATGGATTCAGGGAGTCCTCTGCCTGAGAAGCAAGTGCCTTTCTCTCCAGAACCTGTGTGCTTTCCCGTGCCTTGGCGTGGCTGTGATTCTGACGAGTGGTTTAAATGTGCCTTCTTGTTGTTTTCCTTCTGCCTGTGGCTCCCACCTTTCTGTTCTGTGACGGGCTGTCCCTGCTTGTCTGCGTTAGGAGGTAGGTACCCAGTGGCTTCCTCCCTCCCCAGCGGCTCCTTCTCCCCTCACGTCGATCTGTGTGAAGCTCTGGTCTGTGGTTGCCATTCATCTGGTCCATTTGGCTTTGGACTTGACTGGAGCAGCATCATGCAGGCATAGTGTGTGTGATACCCACCCGCCAGGAGCAGCGTCATGCAGGCATAGTGTGTGTGACACCCACCCACCAGGAGCAGGACCCAGAGCACTAGAACCAGAAGTGCATGGGGAGGCTGTGTGGGAATAAGCTTGCCCTGTCTTCAGGGCCCTGCAGTAGGGAAGAAGCTGATAACCTGCCTATCTTAGAGTGCCACCCCCACCCCCATACCCCACACCCACACCCCCACACCACACCCCACACCCACATCCCCACCCCACCTCTACACCCCCCACCCCACACCCCCTACCCCACACCCACACTCCCCACCCCACACTCCCCACCCCACACCCACACTCCCCACCCACACCTACACTCCCACCCCTCCCACCCCCTACCCCCTACCCCCCCCCCC